CAATGAGATTGTTGCCTTGGCTACACTTCGAATCGCTATTATTATAAGTGTACGGTATAATTCTCCTAATTTGGAGTACCAACACGCTGGTTGGCGATACATCTAACCAACTCTGGGCCTCGTCGATCGTTTTCGAATCGTTGCAATGAAATTGCTACCTTGACTATGCATCGTATCACTATTATTGTAAGCGCACGGTAGAATTTTTCTAATCTATATTCTACGCGTGTGTAATTGCAAGCACCCGACCGTGCGTGTACGGCCCTTCCTGGAACGAGCGCTTCCAAATGCAGAATTAAAACGCCAACGGCGTACGTACACGCGTACGCGTATAGTAAACGATAACGGCGATAACGTAACACTCGACGCTCAAAATGGGAACATCCGTGCGTGTGCTCGCAGAAATCGTTAACCTATATGCATACGTAACGACGGATCCCTCGTGTGTTCACGCAACGATTCGACTTTGCCTAGAAAACCGCTTACTAAGGGGGCCTCGTAAATTTTTAAATAAAAATTATTTGTCCAGATAGTACGGGTATATATTCATCTCTCATTTTTAGTTTTCTTTTATCGAAACATTCTCCTTTGCATTTCAGTTCGCTTCTATTGCTTCGATGACCTGTTTCCAATAGCGATACAAAGGTACTGAAATTTTTCATGGTTTCTTAACTAAAATATAGAATATGGAAGAGGATTCTGTGACCTTCGAAACGCCATACAGATTACGTAAGTGAAATAAATTAGCGTGAGATGATTGCCTTGCTCGATAAGAGGAAGACTAGAAATCCTTTGTGATGGCAAGAATGATTCAGAGACGAAGATTTATTTGTCGACGCCTCGATTTATGACGAAGAACTTCTTCAAAATGATGCATCAAAGTTTACCCACTAGAACAGATACAAGATAACTGTAAAAAAAAATGAATAGATCAAGTGGGTGTATAGATTCGAGAAATGAAGTGATGTTGTTATTTTCCTACCAATTATTTATCCTCGATTAAAAATATCACGGAAAAAGATACGTATTAAAAAGACGGAAAGGTTTGTATGAAACGTTCTGCTAACTAGAGAAATTTACCGATAAAATCCTTGAATCCGGAATGGTTAAAGTTACGTACTCGACTGTTGCTCGAAATCGACGCAATATTCATGGGTTTCGGGTTAAAAGGAAATCCTCGACGAGGCACAGGGGTCCTCGAATTTGGAGAACAACGCTTTCAATTAATATTAAATCGAACGCGGAACGATCGTCTTTGATTGTATGTATATTCATCGATTCTTGCCGGCTACTGGCAAACGACGCATACATATTCAAGGTGGGAGACACTTGCGAGCACCGCCTCGGTAATTGGAGAACGTGCTGTAACCTCGAAACGTTGGAGCACTACCTATCGCTGACCGCCAACGACAACCGTGCACTCTTAATCCTAAATTGAGAGCGCCTACGAGGGATCATGCGACTTCCTACGCTACGAATCCCCTAACAAACCACCGATCTTTACACGCTACCGCTTTTATTTGCCCCGAAAAAGCTGAAAGAATCGATCGATCCAACGTATCGGCCGTGACAGCCATCTTTTTACGATTTGATTACAGAGGATTCCCAGAATTAGAAACAGCAGTTGCAATTTTGTTCTTTCGTAAAATTTTATCATATACCAGAAGCAATAGTTCAATTAAACGTATAAAACGTATCAACGATTCCATGAAACGAACGATAGAATTTTACTGGGATGTAAATCTGACTCTGAGCATCGTCGCGGCAGTCCTTCTTTATCCGGCAACATTTTCCCCGTTGATTGTCGTATAAAATCCATTTCTCATCCCCGGTTGCTAAAAACACCAGGAAGGGTACGTTTTTATTGCGTGGGAGCAAAGATATGCACGATCAAGAAGGTTCCCTTCCACGAGCCAGCGTGGAATCCATACCTCACGTGCTTCGACACCACCCACATTTTTTCCCCCGATGCCTATGAATCGTTGACGTCGATATATTTAAAATTTTCGACGTATCCAGAATCGATAAATTTCTTTGACAACGCGCAACAAAATATTCAAACACTTCGTACAAGCTGCCGGAGCAAAAACCTGTAAAACTTTGCTTCGCATCGATGAAAGAGCAACGAACAATTTTCGCTTTTTACTTAAGAAGACAGCTACTAAAAAGTTTCGAAACTATCGCGAATTAAACGAAACGGAAATATTTCACCACGGATAGATAGCTGTATTTACTTTATCGCGTGGCTCGAGAATGCCATGGTATCGTGTAAAATATTAGCATAGCTTTGTACAATCTAAACGATCGATAAACCGACTTTGCGTTACGCACGAAATTACGATAACGGATTCTTTTCGTTAGGCTGTCACAAATGAAGTAGATCGCACCCTCGATCCCAAGCACTTCGATGGAGAAGATAAACAGATACTAGTTCAAACTCCGATACAAGGTCGAGCTTAGATCCGTGACAGATACTTGAAGAGGTTCTTTAACGTATCTTTTCACTTTTAAATGTTGCAACCTTAACCCAGTTACGGACGAAGTTCTTTAGAAAGGATTTGGTAATATTCGTGTAAATACGTTCTAAAATACTCGTAAATGAACTGAGAGAATTAGCAACGCGAACCGATATTACTTGGTCAAATATTATTATAACTTGCATATTAATAGAGTGAAAGTCGACTTTCTAAAATGAGTAGAAGCGATAATAAAGAAAACAGTTTGATATTTATCGTCGATCACCTAATTATAACTAACTTTCGCCATGCACGATATCTTTCCAGATTATAGCTGCTCGCGCGCGCAGAAAAATTGAAACCACGATCAAATTAAAAATATCTCCCGATAGATTCTGTGCCCACGATGGGCCATCTTCTTGCACGAATGAAATCAAAGGGGAAATATTCATGCGGTCGGTACTCTAGGAGGTTTCTTCGCCGGTAGGTTTGCTTGAATACGAAAGAAGGGAGAGACGGTACTTGCGTTAAATCTTTCAACGGCGGTACTTTTAGTAACGAGAAAACTACTTCAACCTTGGCTTCGCGCGCGATTCACTTAACTCCGCGTCACGAAACCACAACTATCCGTCTGGAATTCAAACTACCTTAGACGCCTGGATAGATGACCGAAGGAAGCCTAACGGGTAAAACGAGCCTAAGGTTTGCGTATGAAAAATACGAAGCCCGACGAGTTCTCCACGGCGCAAAAGGAACCGATTTTTCCATTGTACTTTACACGTCTAGATTCCAAACGGTTCGTTTCAGTGTCGAACATAAATATTGCACGAATGCGCCAAGTAATTCTCCATCACAGAAAGTAATATCGATAAACAATTGAATTTATTATTCCGCCAAGTTCTTCGTACGAAGTCACTTCTGTCGAGTAAACTTTCCGTTTTAAAGTTCTCACGCGTAAAAATCGAGTGGCGTAATGTTCCCGACGCTAAAACAAAGCATTTATTTACAAACTTTATACAACGTTTCTTCCTTCTTTCTCCTGTATTAGCTGGCGAAGCTCGTACGTTTTTAAGAGCGTTGTTTAATTTCGACAAAATTGCTTCGAACTAAAATGAAACGATATTGTATTTATTTAATTCCAAATACACGTTATCGCGAAAATATACTAAAGCGTTTATTTCCCGTCGATCTTTCACGGCTTGATTTCATGCAAAATTTGCCCAGCTCTATAAAGCAAACGAGCACAGCCAATTTAACTAAAAGCTCGATTCAGTGGGTTATAGTTGGAACGATACACGTTCACTTGACGAATCAAAGAACAATTTTTAAAGTCGTCGGAGCTATTTACTCCGCTTATTTGGTCGATTTGAACGCGAGCACTATTTCCTGATCGATTGCGTTCCTTCCAGAGACTGAACAGAAACGCTAAATTCGATGCAGGCTCGTAATTCCCTACCGAAATATTCAAACGAGCTATCCAGTATTCAGAAAATTGATATTTCACGTTTTACACTCCGAGTTTCGAGCCTCGAAAAGACCGTGAAAGATTGCTCTTAGACCGTAAGCCAAACTTTAAAGCCCAATCTGGAAACGCCATTTTTCAAAATGGGTGACATAATATCCCAGAGAACTTACACGTCGATTTTAAAATTTGACGCACGTATAAAGTAAATGTCCCTCTATCGAACTGAATAAAAATGAACCAGATATCGACTTCTTCTTTCCGACTAAAGAAAATTGTTATTTGACGTGAATCCTCTCTTAAACGATCCGTACGACGCAGGCTACGGTCAGTCGATAACAGCAACAACAACAACAACAAAAACCAAAGAGAATTAACCTGAAATTGTCTGGGCAGTCGATATAGCACGCTCATCTCGAGGGGCAACCGCGAGGAGAGCGTACAGTGTCGCACGTCGGATTTCTTGTCGAGTGATCCGTTCGCTCGGGTCCCCTATTGCTCTCTTTTGCACCTCTCTTCCGAGAGATTCTCTCTGTTGCTCCTGTTGTCTCTATCCTACGCCTCCTTCAATAGCCTTTATACGATGGGAACCGGTATGACCGGAAAGAACCAGCGGAATTCTTTCTATGACTGTCAAAACAAGTACGCCGCACGATTTAACGAACTCGTTATTCGCCGGCTGTAATCGATCACCTGCGATTTATCTGCATTTCGTCGACGGCTCGAACGATACGCTGGATCCGTGTCCCGATACCACGGACAAACGAACGAAAGCCACGATCAACATTATTCCCCCCGCGTAAAATAATTCATAAGAATAACTATATTTCACCAGGGGGGGGGAAAAATGTTTCGAAACGTCTCGAAAATGAAGCAGAAAGTTATTCCACGCAAATACGTAAACTACATCGTAAAACATACGATAACACATGTCTATCGATACATTTGCACAACCTCTAATTTGACCAGCGTAGTCTCGATATGTCAAAATACCCGCCATTTTTTTTTTTTTTTCGCTCGTTTTGCGTTCACCTGTTTTCGAAACGCACCGACTGTTTCTAATAAAGCAAGAGTCGACTTACCGGACAATCCTTGAGACGGGCTGCGTGACAGCGGAAAAAAATGCGACGCGGGGAGGACACGCCGCAAGTTCGTCGTTTCCCGCGTGACGCGAATCAACGGGTTGCGTAACGCGGCAACTTGTTCGCGCAACGTGCTCGAATCCTCGGCGAGCACTCGAAACCGTCGGACACTCGACGGGGGGACCACTGGTTTTGTTTGCACAACGTGTCACGAACCGCTTGGTAAAACAATCCGTGTTGTTTGGGCGCGAAGCGTTTCGAAGTGCCGCGCGAAGGTTAAGGAACGAAGGAGAGCAACAATCAAGCACCTTCCACCGCGACGGCTGGAGCGCGACTGACTCGACGTGCCGGCTCGCCGCTACGCACACGGCCTCGAGTTTCGAATTACGCGCCGCTTAACGACACTGCATTCTGCGTCTGTTGCACCAAGCATTACACACAGCCACTGTTCGACTATTCGAACAGTCATATAAATATTACTATTTAAATATTTTACTAATTAAAAAAAATAGTATACTTGAGTAAATTAATTTCAACCTGTTTGAATTTAATATTTTAAAAATAACTGGTGTATCCGGACAAATGCAATTGCGATTCTGTTAATTTTTAAAAAAGGTGCAACCGTATCTTCCAAATGCGGCAATGTAGGAAAATGTTTCAGAAATAAAAGACCTACCGAATTCAGGGTTTCTTTGCCTCGAATACAAATTGCCGTGGTTTTTGTAACCGGTGATATTATTTCTCGTGGCGGAAATTGCGGCCGGTTTCTTGACGCGAAAATTTTCAATCGTTACGGCGCTGTTAAATTGCGATACGCACGATGGTTGTAATTTAATTTGACAGGTGGAAGATCGATGGGACGTGGAAACGGGACACTAGAGGGAGAAGGCCGCTCGCAATAAGACTGACCCACGTAAATTCCATTACGTAGGATCGTCTATTGTTCCCGCGTTAACCGTGTATGTAGGTACGTGTAACGTAACAAAGCGACGAAGGGATTAGCAAACACGTGGCAGGGCAGCGAGCAACGTAAACAAATGAGTGCTATCAACCCCACGGGACGGTGGTACACCAACAATGAGCCTCTCCGAATAAAGGCAACTCGCGAGAAAATCAAAGCCCCGTGGGTTTGAATATTAATAGGCGAAGGAATATATTGCGAAAGGGGGAGTTGGCATGGTGCATTAATCGGCCGGTAAATTTCGGTAATCGCAGAAAAGTTTTTATTACGAAATCCAATTCTCTCATCTCAGGTGTTATATCTGTATTAATTTTCGATAGAACGCGTCGGAAATTATTTACATAGAAACATAACGGGTAGTCTTAATTTCGAGTTTTGTTTCGTGGATCGTTCGACTTCATAGTCGATGATCGTGAAATCGATAGAATCGCAAGCGTCACGAACGCTCTTTTATCGCGAGGGATAACAATCACGGGACGGCCAAGGGACCGTTACTTCGAACAAAGACGCGACATTATTATATTTGTTTTTCCTATATACTTGGCTAAGAAACGCGGAAAAACTGGTCGGGCATCCCGTGACGATTTCCAATTACTATGAACGATAACGTATCGTAAAACCCACGGAGGAGAAAGTAAAACGCATCAACGACAAACGTCCCTTTTTTCTATCTTTGTTTCTTTTTGTTCCGTTTTGCTTTCGTTCCTCGTAGGCATGACGCATAAATATGACGCGTGTGCATGACGGTAAAGAATGATTACGACGACAATGACGATGATGACGATGACGACGACGATGATAACCAACGCATGAACCGTTGCACCGAGATTAATATGGCTCGACGCATACGTATCCGTACTCTGTGCTTATCCATGTACGTTTTATGCAAATTCTGACGTCAACGAGTGAAAATTACATAGCGAGGTGACCCTTCGTCCGTTCCAACTTCGACGAAGTTACGATGCGGGTGCTGCAAATAAAGAAAAGAATCGTTTAGATTACGAACGATCTGTGCTCCACCGGGAGGGAGAATTAAATCTTTTTTGATTAATTGATTTTTTAGTCCTTTTAGGTCCGAGTCTCTGTTCTTCGGAGCGGAGTTTGTTTCTACTTTGATCCAAGTTTCGATGGGTTTTATGTGATCTCTATCCTCGCTAGTATTATTGCAACTACCAATTATTACTACCGCTATTTAACTAAATGATTCGCGACGTACACAAAAACGTAGAAATGAAGTAATTATGGAACAGTATCGTTGCAGTTCTGATTGATTCATTCGCAGTCACGGTACACACCGTGCGCGATCGATGATGCAATTAGTCGATTACTTCTTTAATCGCTACTCGTGACTAGATTTTTAGTGATCTACTAGATCGCCAACCTTTGAGTAAACATACCGAACGTGATGAATTTCGAGCCCAAAATCGGGCGATTGGGCCTGAGGGTCAGTGTAACTTTCACAAGCATAACTACCTTAGCTAGAAATCAAGTTCAAAGAACAGGGAATTAATGGCAAAAAAAAAAAAATCAGCGACGATAATGAAGAAAGTATGGACGATCGATGCTTCGAAAAGGCAAAAAGATGGATAGCAGAGATTTTTCTATGTAAAATGACGAATCCTGGAATGTAGGTGGTATATAATCGTTAGAAATTGTAAGAAAAAACTGATATATTACTTTCGGCGGGCGCTGGTGCTGGTGCAGCCTCTGCTGGGGGTGCAGCTGGGGCTCCCTCGGCTGGCGGTGCTGCGGGGGTTCCTTCCGCTGGTGCTGGTGCACCTTTACGAAATTACAATACCTCCTTATTGAGTTCTTTCGACAAACACCACAATCGGGGCCAAAGATTTTCGCTTCTCGAAAACTCTATACCACCGTTGAATCGTTTGGCTGGTAACATTGTTTCAAGTTGTCGAGATAAAATAAAAATACAAGTGGTGGCCGAGCACCCTGTATATTAACACAACTGCTCCAATAATCCACTTAACGGTGAACGAATCTATGTTCAGCCCCGACTGTGTGCTGGGTGTTAGTAATCATTAGACTGCTGATCTTTATGCAAATTCACATTTTTATTAATAGAATTAATGAAACGGAAGCTTCGCAGAGGGTTGTCTCAGCCCCTAAATATAATAATTCGTATCTTCCTTTAAGTATTTCTTATATTTTTGCATATTAAATTCTGCAGTTTTTTGAGGATTAAAATTCCCCATAAATGCATGAACATCCGCAGTCTGGTAATCATCCACCATCGCGCGAACGATAAACAAATTAGAACGTTAAATGAAATGAGTTCGCAGATGACGTGAACGTTAAAACGGTGTTAATAAAAATGATGGCAAGGTCACCTTCTGCCGGTGGTGCCGCGGGCGCGCCCTCCGCTGGCGGTGCACCTTCCGCGGGTGGCGCAGCGGGCGCGCCTTCCGCGGGTGGTGCGGCGGGCGCGCCTTCCGCGGGTGGTGCAGCAGGTGCACCCTCCGCGGGCGGTGCACCTTCCGCAGGTGGAGGCGCAGGTGCGCCCGCGGGCGGCGCTCCCTCTGCTGGTGGTGCACCCTCGGCCGGAGGAGGTGCACCCTCAGCAGGAGGTGCCGCAGGCGCGCCCTCCGCTGGTGGCGGTGCTGCTCCGTCCGCAGGGGCAGCCGGTGGTGCTTGGCCTTCGGCGGGTGCCGGTGGTGCAGCGCCATCTGCAGGTGCAGCTGCTGGCGCACCCTCTGTACAAGCACATGCATCTTACTTCTCTAACTCTACTCTATACGAATCTAAGGACGGACTCCGGACGACAGGCCTTCCATCCTCTTCTTTAACGACTCTCGTCGAGTGACGTTGAAAAATATGAGAAATATTAGCGATAATGCAGAGCGACGCGAATGCAACGCGACTGTGATCTTTGTTATCGTAGTGTATGCTAAAAGACGTAATGATCTGTATGTTAGGCTGTTTGGAATCGATGTACTGACCGGCCGGAGGCGCACCCTCTGCTGGTGGGGCTCCTTCCGCCGGAGCTGCTGGAGGAGCTCCCTCGGCCGGGGGTGCCGGAGCTGGGTCTGGCGTCGGTGTTGGTGACGGTGCTGGTGCAGGAGCCGGTGGTTCTTGTGGTGCAGGTGCAGGTGCAGGCGCTGGCGCAGGTGGCTCCGGCTGTGGCGAAGGTGTGGGTGCAGGAGCTTCTGCTGGTGGTTCCTCCTACATACAAGGAAATTTATGAAGCCGTTTGTACTTGACGTTCAACGTCAACGCCGTATAAAGCAACCTCCCTGACGCTTGGTCCATCGCGACTTGGAAATGGGCAAAATTTGATTTCATTCGTTCGATTGTTCACGATATAAAGAGGTCTTGTTAATGTTCCTGCTATGTACTTAAGATACATAAAATCAATGTTTTAATGCCCGAAGGAATTTACAAAGTCGCGAAGACTACTATACTCGAACGTTTCTCTACAGTGCTCTAACCATTTTGCCCATCTCAAAATACGGTTAACCAACATAAACCCTCGTAGCGTTTACGTTTCGGTGGTGCCGCGCGCGATTTAAGCGTTCGAACGAAACGATAAAACGGTCGTTCTTTTGCCGGCGAACGCGACACGTTTCTATTTTTGTTCCCCCCCCGTTTACCTGCGCGGAACACGGTGAACGCGGTCGGGATAAAATTTCGTTTCGCAACGACGACGTGACACGTCGACGGCACGCGCGTTAAATTGCATGATTTACGGCCGGCGTGCGCGTTCTCGCAAATGTACTCGCATTAAACCGGCGTTTATAGATACATCATTTGTCCTACGCGGGCGATAATAACGCCGTGTGTAACGTTCAAGAGCCGCGACGTGGCGCGTTCCTCTCGACGGCCGTTGTTGTTCGACAGCGTAAATCAACGGCCATTTGCGATCGCGAATATTGTCAGGATAATTAAACAATGGCTTCGCGATGATAAACACCGCCCCGGATAATTTCAGTGCGCGTCGACCAAATGATTTTCGAACATGCCACTGTTCGTTGAATAATACACGGCGATCGTTTTCGTTACGGAACGCGTACGAAAGTTCGAATTGAAAAATTGGCCGGATAATCGACGTCGATTCGAATATATTATAAATAACGTAAAGGCGGGAACCCGAATGAACGTACAATGAAATAATTTCTCGCGCGATACGAATACGTAACATCGAACCGTAAACAATACGAGGATTTACCAACGCGCGGAACCAGCCCCGATAGCGAATCGCAATTAAGCAAAAGTTAATCAACGACGCACCTACCGTGCTTGTTGTGTTGTCTAAAAATAGGATTGTTTCGTTAATTTGCTAAACGATTCGTTAAAAATCCCGTATAACAATGCCGGCTGCCGCGTCACTCATTCGCGATGACAAATATTTGTCCTTTGATAATTTCTTATTACTCATTCGGTAATATCTCGCGCTACCGACGTCCACGTATTTCCCGTATTTTTCTCGTATTTTTCGTTATTCAAATCAATCCTCTATTTTCACGCGAACTGGAATTCAAGTAAATACTAAAAAAATACTAAATTTGAATGAAATTTGTAACGTTGACGTTCGTAACGTTGCCCGCGATGCGACCGTTTTGACGCGGGCGAACATTATGGAGAATTATAATTCCGCGATACATCATCGATATTTATAGGAGTTCGCGTGAAATTTCTCAGTAGGATGTACACGGTCGACTGTACACTCTATCATTTGATACGGCTCATTGAGCGTTCGACGGGATCGTGGTCTTTCTCGCGGAGCAAAGGTTCGAGCGCGGTAAAAGTTTCGCTCCTTGCTCGAATACCCGATAATCACGTTGTAATTGAGCCGTTCGTGGAATTAACGACGGTATTAAGACGCACGATTCTCAGCATTGATTCGAAAACGACAGGGGGTGTTATTATCTCCGCTCTAACGTCTGATCAAATCGAAGACGTCGGCTCTGAAACCGCGAAACGTCGTAAAACTTGCGGACGTGTTGTGTACATTCCCCGGCCGCGTATCGCGTGGTTCGTCGTTCATCGTTTACAGCGAAAGTAAAGGTGCACAAGGTTCGTAACCTTCGAGCGGAAAGATTACTCGAACAGGTTTTTACTGAAATTACAGTTATCGAGCCGGCCAAGCGTCGGAACGCGTCGTCTTCGATTATTTATCGCCGCGCAGAACGGAGGGAATCACAAAGGGCGAACAACGGACTGATGGAAAACGGGGTAGAGTGATCGCACACAGGGGTTACACAGTGTTTTTTTTCTTTCTCTTTTTCATATTGTCGTTAAATATTTTGCTTTACAATAAACCTTAAGTAACGGTTCCCACTCTTGCTAATCTCGTTGCGTTTCATTTCTCCCTTCATCCGGCTCGCAGAGAATTACATGTACGGGAGCGACGTGTAAAAAGTAAGACCAACATTGACAAACGGAAACGGACGGTACAGGGTTTTGTTTCATTGTTTTTGTATGTACATATATTCTCGGAACAAACGAAAAGATAATAAATAAAAACAAGTCAGTCACAAAAATTCTGAATTCTGGATTGGATCTCGGACACGAGTAAGTTTTGCATTCTTTGAACGAGACAAAAAGACAAATAGAACATGGAGACGATCCTCGTGGACGAGACAGAGGCAACGTGATGATTTCTGCGTGCAATTCGGGAATAATATACGTTCGAGTGATCGACGATTAAAAAAAAAAAAAAAAAATATGAAAAGAAAATTCGTTCGAGTAAAAGTGACAATGGGGAAGTTTTGAGTTCTTGCGTCGAGATGTTATCGGGTTGATGGATGGACGATCCCTTCTCGAAAACGTCGAGAGTGAGTTTCTGTTTCTCTCATGCCTCCACCTCTTCTTCCTTTACCTTCTTTTCCTCGCCCTTCTTCGACCAGTCGGGTTTCTTCTGCAAAATTCAGAAAACTAGCGTTAGGGGCCCGCGTTCCGCGGGCGTGATTCGACCAAAATTTGCACACGCCAAGGGTTTCTTTGGTTAGCCGGGTCAAGGTAAACCTTCGCAAAGCAGGGTAACGCGCCGGGGAAATTCTCGCAGTGGGGTATTCTCTAACCAGAATCGCCGCGAGCTTTCTTCCCGAACAACGAATACAAATTTTTTAGGTTCGTTCGATTTACGGGCATCGATTGCGCTTATTTTTTTTATCGAGAACGTCGACAGCCACGTTGAAACGCGGTTTTTCTTTTAATTGAGATGGATACTCGTATCGTTGTTTCAATCGCGATACGAACTGCTAACAAATAACATTTACGAGTTCCGGAACGAGAATCTGAAACTCGTAAATCTGCTGTTAAATTAAGAGAGACGAATGGATCGTGACTCTAATGCCGTTTTAATTGAAGATAGTTATATCCCTGTTGATCAGAAAATAACAAATTTGTATTCATTGTTCGCGAATAAACTTTGCTGGACTCTGCGTGGGCGCGCGATCGTTTAAAATATTGGTCACGACGATCGAAAAATCGTATCCACCTAGAATTTTGGGGTTTTTTTTTAGCAGGCATTGCCAATTCATTTCTTGTTCTGTACAACATGTATCGATCTTCTCTGTTTGTCGTCATCCAGAAAGCCGTGCAAGTGGTTAGTGAAAAAGTCGCGAGAGAAGAGTTCGAGAGTCCGGGAAAAACTTAAAAACGAAAAAGCAGAGATCCGTGTCGAGCCATTTCGCCGATGGCTCGATGAAAAATCGTTGACGCGAAAAACGTTGATCCTTAAGGGAAAAGAGACGAACGTGATCGCGAGTGAAATCGTTAAGGAAAATAAGCTTTTCTCTATCTATCCTATCGTCTTGCTTGCGTCGTTCTTTCACACCATCCCTGCAAAATCTATGTATTTTCTAAAACACGCACACTCTCCCCTACGGAAGCATGCCGATCTACGAGTTGATCGTTAAAGCATTACCTTATCTTTTGACGCGTTCTGCGAACATAATGCAAGAGCAACATCATTAGTCAACGGATAAGACGTGGACAATTATTAGAGCGTACGTACTAATTAATAACTTAACGATAAATAACGCGTCGATCGTGATTCATGGGGGCGATCGAGGCCTACGATCCACGCGACCCGCGTGTGACTTTCGATCTTGGAAAGTTCGGTAGCCACTGGCCATGATTCACGATCGACGACGATGGTGGCGGAATCGAACGGCGCATCGATCGTTTAAAAAATTTCCAACAACGACGGATGGATTTTTTACTTCCGCATGATTAATGGGAATTTTTCGATCGAGGGATCGATGGGCGGTTGCGATTCGAAACAAAAAATTCAGACGGGACAACAATCCTACACATGTACAGCCTGGAAGCATGGCAGCCGAACGATGGCGGTAAAGGCAAGCTGCAAAAAAAGAGCTTATTGCGTCTTGTAAAGAGATTTTAATTTGAAATGATCAGCTCTCGTTTTAATGGATCCTTTTAAACCGTTTTTACTGCGCAGCACACGACAATCATAATTCCTAACGGCGGCTTCTCGCGAATCAACGCCGTGCGCAAAAGATAAACGAAAATGAATGCAGACACAGTGAATAAAATGAATAATTAGAGTCAGTGATAGAAACAGAGATAGAGAAGAGTGAAAAGGCACTTGTGAGTAAAGCGCTTCTGCTATTATGTACGAAGTGAGGAAGAAAGTCTGTGAGTCTTAAATATACTTTGTATAAGCCATTCTCACCTTTTATCGTTTCTCTTTTATATTTTTAATCGTTACTTTAACCGAGCATCGCGTGCCTATCGCGCGTATCACCGTGTTAAAAGTGAAAGAGAGAGAGGAAAACGAAAATAGACGCGCGTTAAGAAGCAAATTGCGTGTAGACACGATCTTCGACGACGCCAACCAGCTGAAATCGCCGCGAAACATGAGAACGGACAAAAAGAAAAGAATCCAAAGCTCGGAGAAAAAATTGGCGAATCTGTTGTTAGACATTTTGCGGTCGAGGGTATTGTCAAGCCTCGGGATCATGAAAAATTCAATTTGTATATATTTTAAATCTCGATCGAACCATGCAACGTTTTAATAGTGGAATTTCCCCCAAAAATCTTGCACGTATGAAAAAGATCGTCCAACGCGGTTTCGGAAGCAGAATTTTAAAAAATATCGTGAAAAAGAGAAAGGGAATATTCAAGTGGAGAAAAATTTATCTCGTCCAAAAATGTAGACCCGTCGCCGTGGGAAAAAATGATCGAACAGCGTCGAGCGTGGTTCCGTGTGAAAAATAAATGCAGAAAAAAGCGTATCTACGGAACGTGTCCGATGGACGAAAGAAAACACGATGAATCGTGTCGTCGAACAAGAGGGTGGAAATTTGAGAAATGATATTCGACGAAGCATCTGGGCTCCTTTGGCATGCACTTTCTTCGATCGTTTATTGAGACACAGGTATTCTCTTTCATTTTGTATTCCTCTCGTCTTGTAACTCGAAATTTGATCGCCGATAAACCGATCATCGACGAGTCGGGAAAGAAAACCGGATTCAAGCCTGACGACCGTTCGTACAATCTACTATTTCATCGTTTTCACGATCTATGGCGTATAGCAAAACAGAAAACGAGCGAATCTTTACAAACGGTTACGTGGAAAAGTGGTGAAACAAAATCACGTTCATAAACGTGTTTTTTATCTAGGTCTCGCGTTCGAAATACGCGCTAGGTTTGTACGCGTAAAACGCGATCGCGGTGACGTTATTTTTTTTATACCATTGAAGTGTACATACTGAAGCTCATTCAACGTTACATTGTAATATTACATTTGTTTGTGTACGCGTGCGTTTGTTTTCAATTCTTTTCTCTTTTATGGTTGTTTTCGTTTTATCTTTTGGCTTTTTTTTTTAAATCTACTTCTTCGTCTGCCACTCTGCCTTCTCGGACTTCTTGGGCTGTGGAGAACAACACAATTGCCTAGTCAACTAATCGCTACTACTGGTGGGCAGTTGTACGTATACCAAAAAAGAGTCAAGGATCAAAAATACGGTCCCTCTAAGGAGATCCAGGACATTCCGAACAAGCTACTTGACAAACTCGTCGAGCTTCAGCCCTGTCAACGAAGATCAAACAAAAACTGTCCCTTTATGCTCCTTTGACTAGGCTGCCGCTTCAATTCCGATCGACCAGGAATTCCTCGGCAAGATCTCCATAGAGGGACAACGAACGGTAAACAAAATACTACTGATACAAGGGGAAAAACCTGCCAATGGGGGGTTTTGTACACGGAAAGAAAACCAGAGCCACAAAAAACTGTCTTACTCAAATGGCTGGAAAAAAAAATACGTGAGTACAGGCCCGCCCCGTCGTATGGCGAGAAAAAAATTCAAAATTCACGTCTAGCACGCGACGGCGAAAATGCAAGAGCGATTTAAAATCTATTTTACACGCGAATCGAAAGTGGAGGTCTTGCATTCCCGCGACGCTTTTACCAACGTGACACTCGCCGATTCCGGAAAAATGCAAAACGGAACCATCGACGGGGGGAGGGGCGGGGAACGAAACAGTCTACGACAAAAAATATTTATAACGTCGATTTGGTCCTATCGAAAACGATCGTCCTTACCTCCTTGTCCTCCTCCTCGAGGGTGAATTCCTTCTTCTTAACCTGTTTAAGCTGGTTACGGAAGTTGAACTCGGCCGCCTTCTTCTGGAGCTTGGCGAACTTGTTCTCGTACTTGGAGACCTTCTTCAGAGTGGGCTTCATGCTACGAACGGCAAAAGAATCGTTATTACCCGTGGACGAAACGCGAACCAAGGGGCGAGGGATTACTCGAACGGATTACTTACAATTTACCTCGGAGGTCGTTCACTTGGCTGTTCAAGTCCGATATCTACACCGATCGAAGTTTCGATTAGTGTTACCGTTCGGACAGTCTATCGACGATTATAATCATGCTTCGAATTTTCGCGAGAAACTAGGAACACCGAAGGGAACGTTTGCCCGTTGAAAACTTCGACGCGGACCAAATATACCGGCACGCTCGTTAAATCGGAATTAAATGATCGAAAACGCCCGTTTCCAAATGGCAGTCGTTCCTCGCGGATATATTTCAAAACGGGGCAATTCGTGCTCGCGAAAGGAACGTTGCTCCCTTTGAAGAAAAAAAAAAAAAAAATAGAACAAAAATATGGAAAGCAAACTTTCGGATAGCGAACGCAACGCCACACAAAGCTTCGACGTTTCCTTTAATCACGGTACAAGAACGCTGCACAGAAACCAGAAACACGGTGTTAATGAAAATACATATAGATACATACATGGTAGATAACGAACGAGCGGTGATCGATTAGCGGGCGAAAAGAACGAGTGAACACGGTACACGAGCAGAAATTAGCATGCTACCTGCGTGCCAAAAGCAGGCGGGAGAGGATTACACACGGACTTGCAGCGAATACAGAGACATATTCGGCGGAGACACTCGACGAGTCGAGATTGACAGTAAATTGGCTTGCTGATTAACTGCAATGCCATGTAACGGTGATGGGATGGGCGGAGACGGGAAAAAATGTCCGCGACCGGAGCGTTGGAAATCAGGACAGTCGCGTTGGAAAATATTGACGGGGTCGATGCACCAGAGGGAGAAAAGGAGGATTACGATCAAGAAATACTAGCGACCAGATCAAACTTTTACATGTATCTTCCACCTGAATGTTACCCTCGCAGACAAATAGCACAAAAGTATGGCAAAATTAAAGCTATTGCTAAAGGAAATCGATTGTTACGCGCGTACAACGACGATCCTTGGACTCTTCGCGAGGTCAGGCGACACGAACAGTCGTTCGAACACTGGGGAATGCGCAAGGTAGATGCGCAAGAGATTTTTCTATGCGACTACCTTGCGCATGCGCAATGCCGGAGCGACGATTCTTCGTTGGCGATGTGTTCTTTGATCTTACGACAACTTCAAGGATCATGGGTGTACAGTGGTCTCGATACAAGGGCCGTTTAAAACGGACCAAAATAATGATTTTATTTATTTTCTTAGACAACTTGTTGCAGATGAACTTATATACGACGTAATAATGTTGAATATCACACGCGATTAGAGCGACTAAGTTTTATTCCTATCTGTTTCATAAAATCAGTAGTTCGGTCGCTGTTTGGAACGGCATTTATCAATATTCGAACACCGCGGTACTTCCAAGCTCGGTGGTTTGTAATATATGCAAGCTACTAAAATATTTGTATAATAAAGACACGCTGAGAATACTTAACAAAAATTATTTCCAATATCGTTCTGTAAATGCTAACAAAAAATACACGTCAAACTTTAGCTCTCTCGACGCGAAAGCTGGACACTTTATTGCAGAATAAAATATTATCGCTAATGTTGTAATCCTCGTCGTCTATAATAAATAATCTAACGCAAAGCACCCGGAACGAATGCTTTAATAATTCGCGAGGATGTAACAAACTTTGCACCACGGTGTCCGAATATCAAAGCGACCTGTCATCGAGATGTTCCATCGATAAATTTTGAGCGAAGACTGCGACAATGGAGAGCCACGCTTTTTCCTTTCGCGTTCGGCGCAAAAGCGGTTGCTTTTTTCCAAGGAAAAAAAAAAAAAACTGACAAGTCTCTGGCTGAAACTAGGATATTTCGTGGCGCGTACGACCAAGCACAAGATAGACGTGCTCTAAGAAATTATGTCGTCGTTTAACGTGAACAGCGTGTCCGATTCAGCGAAGCGAAATAACGCGAATGAATGTTCAACGACGCGTTCGAGTCTATTCTTCTCCCCGGTCGATCGTCGTCGACCATCAGAGAATCTCACCGCGAAGGTTTCCCCTTCGTCTTCGAAAAAAAGTGGCTGGTTTTTCCACGGGTCGTTTCGAACAAATTGATTTTTTAGCGTCTTCGAATAGCTTCCTCAAAGGTAAAACTTCCTGCGGAAGCCACTTGTCGGATTCTCTCCTCCCTCACCGCGGGACGTTCGAGTCTTTTTCCTCTCCTAGTTTCGTGCCTCCTTGTCGCGCCTAGGCGCGAGAAAGAGAACGAAATAGGGAAACGACGATGAGGGAGAGAGACGTGCAAACTGCCCGGAGAGCGAAACGAACGAGAGTCGAGGACAGAGGGGGTCGAGGAGACAGGGGGGATCGGCAATGATAGGATGTGAATTTCATTCTGGCCAATCAGGGGGAGGGCTGGTCACGATCAGCTCTTTGTCCACAGAGGGTAAAGAGAACAATGTAAAACGTCCACTACAATCCCTTTCCTGGACCGATGGAATTCTGTTCCTCTCACCGGTCGACGGATCGCTAATTCTTTAGATTGGAAATTTAATCGAGTCTCTGTCGGCGTACCGCCGCGATTATCAGACGATTTCGATATCGAACAATGCACTGATTATCGGAGGTAACGGGGTTACGATCCGTCGAGTGCCTGAAAAATTCACTTTTTCCAGGGACAGAGATCTATGTGCTCCGACGGTCGGAGCAATCGAAATGAAAAGGTAAAGAGACAAAGGGCGCTTGACAAAATTAATTAGGGGAGGAACAGATTTCCGCCAGAAAGGATCCGCTATTTACAGGCCCAATTGAACACCATGACAAGAGAGGACACTGACAGTCGGTGGTGCGTGCGAATCGGTGCAAAATCAATTTCGCTCGTTCCCATTTCGACATCGTAGACGCGTGTACGTGTTCGCTTTCACGTCTCTTTCACGAGGACAAAGGGTGTAGGACAACAAAAAGAAATCCGTATTATTTGTTTTTCTTTCTTTTTCTTTCTTCTTTCACGTCACAGAGGAAACATTTACAAGGGGCTCGGTCAGACGAAAAAAAAACATGGGGTGAAGAAAAAAAACAAAAAGGTTGGCGGGGGTGGTGGCCCGGAGAATTTCACAGCATGGCACTTCGGTCTCGTGATCATTTTAATCCGAATCTCGAGGGCGGTCCACCTTCGTGAGAGTTAACAGTGGAACAGAGATAGAAAAGCGTGGAAAAAACAAGGAGGTAACAGACAACCAGCTAAACGTTCAAGGAACAGATACGAGTGTAAGAAACTGAGAATTCTTTCCAAACACGTGATCAAAAATCTAAGGGTTGGTGACAAAAAAAAAAAAAAGGGCAAAACAGGGGCGGGGGCAGCAAAAGTTGTAAAATGCGGGTATCGTTCTACATACCTACTGTACTCTTAATAGCGTGACACGACATCCACGTGTCGTGGCGTATTTACACAAACGTTTTATTCGACGGTTCCCACGCACCGACGTGACGATTCTCGGTCGTCGAAAGATTTATGTACAATCGTTATAATTTTCTTTTTTTTTCTTCCCTCGCGGGGAATATGAAGTGCCATACTTCCCTCTGGCGGTGGTGATGATATGATCGCGCGGCTCTCGCGTGGAAAACGTGACGATTCCCCTCCGCGATCGGCCGAAACGAAGTTAATCGAAAAGTTTTGCGATGGCTTCGGCGGTAGCGTGAAAAAATCGTTCCATGCTGTTAATCTGAACATCAGCGGCCCCGATAGAATTTCTGCACGCGATCCTAACGAACGATCGAACGATTCGATGCACGAATCTCGAGGAAAAGTTCTTTAAAAAACATCGTACTACTGCGAGACGACCGAAACGCGTATATATGTAACTCCCAACGATCGATCCTCTTACCGTGACAATCGTAACGATAAAATCCATCGAAGTCGATCGAGTCCGATTTCTAAGTTTTCTTGGTGTTAGTAGGTACAAGCCGTGCATGTATGGTTAGGCGAGTGGAACAATAGCTATGTCAATATGCTTACAATCAAGCTCGCAAGGCGCAAGGGGGGGAGAAGAGATAAATAGATGCAGAAATAGTAAAGGCAGAAAAAGAGACGTGAAAGACGCGTAGAATATAGTGAGAGGGCGTTGAAACGAGCAGAGAAAAACACGAAGAAGACGTGAAATGTACAGTGGTAGGCCCGGTGGCGATTCGATTCGTTTTCAGCTTCTTCTTTTCTTTTTCTTTTCTTTTTTTTCTTTCTTTTCGATCCACCTTTTCCTTGTGACTTTTCCGATTTTGCACCGCACACCCACGCACGCACACGCGCACACACACGCGTGTAATCTCACGCACACGTTTGATTCTTGCGTGAGATCAAAGGGACCGTCTTGGACCCCTTCGGTGTGTTCTTTATCCCATGACTGTGTATATGTCACTTTTACCAAAATAGAAAAAAAATATATATAAAAAAAACAATGATGATTAAAAAAAAAATGAGATATAGAAAAACAGAAAAATAGTCCAGGGTATGTTCTATCGTTTTGGGACAACGGGCCCTTCTCGTTTCACGATTCTTTTTCTCGGCGAGAACGCGTTATGCGGTCGACAAAAAAATTGATCCTTGCGATCTTGATCGCGCTGAAAATGATCGTCGTGACGATAATCGACGTGACCCAGTCGTACGGCGAACACGAGAACGAAATGAGAGGCAAGTCCGCGTTTTAACAGTCGCTCGATGACGTTGCGGATCGGATTCACGATCGACGGAACGTCTCCTCCATAAGCTTGCCCAGCCCTGATCCGGATTCTCGCGAGAAGCTTTTGTTTGTTTCGTTTAGCGAGTTAGTAGAAAGCTCAGAAAAGCCTATAATCTGCGTTAACGGTTAGAGAAAGAGAGACAGAGTGATTTATTCATAGAGACAGATAGATAGATTCATCGTGAAAGAGCGAGAATGACAAAGTGTGCGTTCATGTGAAACGGATATGATGTATCTATGTGTCTATAGAAAATGTATGCGAGAGGAGAGAAACAGAAAAACGGGAAGAAAAAAGAGTCAAAAAGAGAGAAGGCGAGCAAAGAGTTTGTCGACGCGTCGTCGTGGCCGAACAGACAACAACAACAAA